AAATTTTACTTATGATGTGGAACTTCTTGGAGCTTTTGTTCTCTAACTGTCATCCTCAGCTGATGCAAATGTGTTTCTCCTCTGAGAGCAACAATATCCATTTCATGGATTCTGAAAGGCTTGCAAGTCTAAAATTTTAGTGGGCATAAATGTTAGAGGGCTTTTGAAGGTTTAATTAATATAAACCTTTTCATCCTACTAGGTTGAAGAGGAGGTGAGTCATAATCAGTGTTCATCAAGAAAATCGGAATATAGATTTATCCTCAAATTAAGTATTAAACTGGCACCAAATTTCTATCTGATTGATTTACATTACTTTTGCATGAGTCCTTGCACTATGCTGTTGTGAGTTGTGACTTCTCACCAAGTCTCATTGTCTATTTCATACTCATGCACTGTCAGAACTTAAGTATGAAATTGGATTTTAGTGACAGATAGTCCAAAGAGCTTCTATATAGCCTATACCTTCAGGGCAAAAGTACTGGAACTCGACAAGTTGCTCATTTAATCAACTCATGATAGTGGGCTAAATTCAAGTTTTGGAGTGCTCTGCCCCATTGCATTACTAGTTTAGACGAATTTACAATGGTTATAAGGACCAAGTCGTTACATGTTACAGAAGAAAGTATACAATAAGACCACTTGCTTTTGATACAAGAAGTTGATAATCATCTAGCTGTTAGATGTTAAATCTGATGGTTGGGTGTACCGTTGACCATGCTCATAGTCAAGAGATGTTTGGGATGATTGCGACCTTCTTCTACCAAAGGAAGATGGTCTTATAGCTATAGTATACAATCACATTACAAAAACCCACTAGCCTCAAGGGATGTTTTGGATGATTGCGACCTTCTTGTACCAAAGGAAGATGATCTTATAGCTATGGGATACAATCATGTTAAAAAAGGGTGTATGCAACTGTAATTCTACTTACCCCTCTCTCTCACATGAAGCAAGAGGCTGGACTAGCTTTTTCATCTCTTGTCTCACTTGTACACACTCCTAATCTCACTCTGAACTACTCTTAATGGATTTTTCATCTTTTGTGCGTCTTTCCATCTTGTACGCGAATTACTCATCTTCCATAGTGTGTCTTAGGTTACCTTATGCATATTGAAAGATTACCTATCACGGGCTGCTGATCCTTTGCTTGCTAAGTTGCTCAACAATAGTTGAAAGAGATCCTTTTGAAGGTTTGAGTGAAGTTCTGTTATTGTACTTCCTCTTGTACAATTATTGCACATGCCTTTGGAGATTAGTACGGGTGATGGCCTCCATATCCTTTTGCATTCGAAGCACTTTGAGCATAATTGGACCATTTATTAAAGAAGTTCATAATAATCATGGTGTACTCATGGTCTTATTGTGATTAACTTGGTAATATGTTGGAGCTAAATCTGGCAATTCTGCATAACTTCAGTCAGAAAATATATTCATTTTAATTGATTTATTCAAAATGCTGGTCCAGAAACCTGTTCCAGTTATTCTGTCATTTACCTATCAAATCACCGAAAAGCTGATCACTTTTAGAAAAAGCGGCTGAAAGTCCAATGAAGTATGAAAAGTAAAAATTCATAGAAGGTGATAAGAAGAAGGTGTAACAATTGACATCAGACTCGAGCAGAAAGAAATGAAATCTGTAGTTTAAAGTAGTCCTGTGTGCCCTTTTGTAATTTGGAAAGCCATTAATGACCCTCTAGATTGGGTTTTATATTTCTTTTTGTTCATTTAATGGATTATTTTGGTACCTTGTCCTTGAAGCTTGTTTCTTTATAGGAATGTTTAAAACAAAATATATTCCATTATAGTATACTTCATAAATATAAACCCATCTTCTAATATTGTGCTTATATCCGTACAAACACATGGCATAAGAGTGAGAGGAGATCATATGTGGCTTAAAGCAAGAGAAAAGAGAGAGGGGAGCCCTTTTTCTCTTTTTTATTTTCCAAAAGATGCCACTATTAACTTAGGGAGGTTCACTGCGCCCCAAACCCGTCAAAATCCCTTTCTCTTTCACTGACTTTTATCTCTTGGTGAAACCCTCCCTTTTTCTCTTCATGTTCCCGTAGCCCCTATTTTCTTGCCATGGCTCTCTTTTTTTTTTTTTGATAATGTTAACATTGTATTATTTTAAAAGAGGAAAGAATACAATAGATTGAGGGAGGAGAGGACTGAGAATACCCACGAGACAGGTATCTCAGTCAAAAAATTGGTTCACTGACCCTATACAAAATATATCCTTTTGAGGTGGCTGTATACAAAAGATTGAGGTGTCAAAAAAATGGGCGTATAAGCACGTCCTATTACAAGAAGCAGCAAAAAATATCTAGTGTCATAGAAAACCTCTGTGGTTCAGAGCAAAAAAGGAGATGGACCAGTCATTATCTTCCATGTGTGGTCGTCGCCGTGCTCCGTCTTTAGCCAGAAGGTCGGCGAACTCGTTCGACGTCTGCCATATATGCCTCCAACAAACATTGGTATCCATGCATAAGTGGTAAATTTCGTCAAATATCCTAGATGGGTACCAAGGGGGGGTAGTGATGCCTGCTGCCCATGATAAAATGTTTTGAGCGTCTCCTTCCACAACCAAGGATTGGCCGCAAGATGGATTAAAAATTTTAGGCCCATTAGGAGTGCCAAGGCTTCAGCAAACTGTGAGTCTTCGTGTCCGACACATTCTGAGTATGTCATGAGAACTTTGCGATTGTGATCACGGAAAACTCCCCT